GTGGTGGCGGGTGGATGGGCGCGCGAGAAAGAGGCCCGCGCTAGGGCGAGAACGCCATCCTGAACGACGGAGGCCAAACACCGATGCGAAAATGAGGCCCACGCTGCAGCGGGAGCACGATTCGGAACGATTCGGGAGCAGAAATGAGGCCCGCGCCTCAGCGAGAGCAGCATTTTGAAACAACGCAAGCGAAAACCCGTTTCCCGGGAATCCGGTGTAAAAAAACAAAACGCGGGGGGGTGTCGGATATCTTCGGGACGCCATCAGGGGAAGTGGGAGAGTATTTTCATATTGTGTAATTGTGCAGGAGGATGAGGAGGCGGAGGAGGAGGAGGCGGATAAGGAGTAGGAGGAGGAGGAGGAGGAGGAGGAGGAGGAGGAGGAGGAGGAGGAGGGGGAGGAGTAGGAAGAGGAGGAGGAGGAGGTCCAGGAGGACGAGAAGGGAGGAGGAGGAGGAAAAGGAGGAGGAGGGAGGAGGAGTTCTTGAGCCAGGAAGGCAGCGGAGGGAGGCGCCCATGTGCCCCCTCGCGCGGTGCTGCCGTCGTCGGGCCTGCCCTCCGCCCTGTGGCCCTGGGCAGCCCCAGCCAGCCTCCAGGCCCTCTCTCGCGCGGTGTGCGCCGAGCCGGGGCTGCCCAGCTTCGACGCGTGGCTGGCGGCGCTCGGGGACGAGGCGCGCGGGGGGGGGGAGGCGGGAGGGGGAGTCGGGAGGGGGAGGCGGGAGGAGGAGGAGGAGGAGGAGGAGGCGGAGGAGGGGAACGGAGGGGATCGGAGGGAGAGGAGAAAGGCGCTGAGGAGGGTGGGGGAAGGTTTGGTCCCCTGCCTCCCGTTCCGGTCGTTCTCCAGCGAAGCGCTTCCAAAAGGACCGCGCCACCAAGGGCTGACGCGGGCGGGTCGCGGCTCGTTCTGCGCGCGAGCCCGGGCTGCCGGCGGATGACAGGATGGAGCCAACTGAAGAGTCTAAGACACAATGGAAGTCGGTCCCTTGCCTCCCATTCCTAGCGTTTTCCGACGAAGCGCTTCTGACAGGACCGCGCCACCAATAGAAACCATTGGACAAAAGGATTGGGGGATATTACATCGGGGCCGCTTCTTCGTCCGAGTCCATGCGCCAAGCTCGGGGAGAACGCGGGACTCCAGTGTGGCAGATGGTATGTCACGTGTGACAGCCTGGCTCCACCATTCTTCTCGTGCGCAAGCCGCGGCAAGTCTGTCGTCTTGGTGCATGTCTAACGCGGCCACGTGACGCAACGCGTCGGAGGCAATCCCAGAAGCTTTTGCCGCTGCAGTGCCGTGTTTAATACATGCTCCGCGTGCGGATCATGTATTAAACGTGCGGATCACACATACTTGTATGTTTTTCTTTTTTTTCAATCCTATGTTAAGAACAAAACTGCCCTGTAGTGTGCCAGCGGTGGCCAGGTCGTCGCGAACGTCGGCCAACAACTTGCTGTCGTGCCCAGGGGGTCCGCATGTTCATCCGAGGCGCGGCGGCCACCATGCAGACGAAGCCCACGCGCGAACACAAAGCACAGGACCCACTTTGCAGACGCATTTGGTCTCAGTCGTGGAGTGCCTATGATGCGGACCTTCTGACTCAGGACGGGGAAGACACGCACGGAAACAATGCATCGTCGACTCCCATGAACATGGAAACATATGGGAAGTGGGGGGACGAAAATATGGCAAGTGGGGGGACGACGAAGGCCCCGATTTTTTTTTTGGGGGGAAATATGGGGAATCCTGGCATCAGTGTCTATTCATGTGTGTGTCCCAAGGCCCCTTTATTTACGCCTGCTCGGCCAAAGCGCACAATGCCCTCTTCCACGTGCACAGGACGAGGCTTCAATTTCCCCAGTTCCCCGGGTGCCCGTATCGAGCACGAAGCAGGGGAGCATCACACGCCATGATGAAGCCCATTCCCCGGAATCATTTTCGGGTTTGGGCAGCATACATACACCAAGGGTTGTCGGAGTTTGTTCTTCTGGATACGTGGTTTGGGATACGCTGGAGGCTGCAGCTTGCGCGCCCCAGACCTGATGTCAGCGTGTACGAGGGAATACTCCACGGGCCAATGACCGCCTGACGGTGGAATTTGCGCCGCATTGACAACACTGTTTTGAGCGCGCTTTCGTGCGAGATCGCGGCGGCGAATTCGTGCATCGTTTGTTTGGGGAAATGGCATGTTGAGGAGTTCGCAGAAAACGTTCGGTGTCCTCGCCGATGGCATGTGCCTGCTGAGCGGACTACCTACAGACGCCCCAGTGCAATCTTGGAGGAGTTGGTTCAGTGAAGGGCGAGTTTTAGCTAGGGCCGCCCCCCGATAACATGCCAAAGAACCTCTTGAGGCTCTCTTGAGGCGCTTTGAGGCGTTGTTGGGCGTTTTGGGGGCTGTATTGTAGCCCTCGTGGGCCTGTCTGAAAGCCCTCTTGGGCCATCTTGTAGCTATGCTGAGGCCTCGGGAAACCATCGGAAGTGGAAAGGCGAAAGCACACCCACAGGTGATTGCCAGACGAATGCAGAGGAACAAAGTGTTTCTGAAGTGTCGTACCCCAAGAGGGGGGAGGATTGAAGAACGATAGGGGAAGAAGCAGGAGGAGGAGGAGGAGGAGGAGGAGGAGGAGCAGGAGGAGGAGGATGAGGAGAAGGAAGAAGAGGAGGATGGGGGGGAGGAGGATGAGGAGAAAAACAACAAGGAGGTACGGTGGAGGGGGAGGAGCAAGAGGAGAGGGACAAGGAAAAGGAAGGGGGAGGAGGGACGAAGGAGGAGGAGGAGGAACAGACGGATGAGGAGGAGGAGGAGGAGGAGGAGGAGGAACACGACGAACAAGGCGAAGTGCGAGCAGAATGGCCGGAGGCCTCTCGGAGGCCTCTTGGAATGTCTTTTGGTAGCTTATCGGAAGCCTCTTGGGCCGTCTTGGGGTCCTCTTGGCGGTCTCTTGGGAGCCTCTTGAGGACCTCTTCGGGGCCTCTTGGATCTTGGATTCTCCTAGGCGCCTCTTGGGGCCATCTCGGAGGACATCGATCAATAACGGAAGGGCTTTAATTAGCCTTGCCTGTGTAGAGTGCCTAAAATCGCCTCTTAGGGCGCTCTTTGTGGCCCTCGTGGAGCGCTCTTGGGTTCTCTGGGGGCCGTCTTGGGGCTCCCTTGGAACCCTCTTCGGGCTCCCCTTGGTCATCTTGTAGCCATCTTGAGGCCTCGGAAGACCATCCGGAAGCGAAAGGGCGAGAAAGCAGCAAACATTGATTGTCCGTAGGTTTTGGAAGGAATTTGACCTCTTGGGGGGCCTTTTGGGGAGCTCTCGGGCCGCTTGGACACGTCCCAGAGCGGTCTTGACGCTTCTTGGAGCATATTGGGAGCCATCTTGAGCCCTCGTGAGGCATCTTGAGCCATCTTGGAGGCCATCTTGGACTCTCAAGGCCCTCTTGGAGCCGTCCTGAGCCACATTGGACGCTCCAACGCCTCGCGGGGCGTCCCATCCAGGTGCAGGGGAGGTGAGCAGGTGGAGGGGTAAACCCCTCCCCGAAGGGGAAGAAGGGGGTTGGAAGAGAAACCGCCCTAGCCCACCTGCGCCCAGAGGGTCGGTGGGATCTCTGGTATCCAGCGAACGCCCCATTTTGAAAAGGAAGCGCCCTCCATTCTTCATGCCTGCGTGCGGCGCTCAAGCGAGATCCCCATTTTGAAAACCACCATCCTTCCATCCGCACAGCTGTTGCGAACTTGAAGCTTCAGCGTCATGAGCCGTGAGGAAGTCTCAGGCGAAACGCTCGGCCCGCCCTACAGAAACGCCTGGGCGTGCGACAGGGAGGAGGTATTGAAAAGGTGTGGATCAGGCGGAGGAGGAATTAGGGTGTCCGTGGTTCGGTCTGTTCGTCTGCGTCGCAGTCGGTTGGACTCGGTGGGTAATGTTCGATCGGTTGCCTTGCCGTTGCCGCGTCGTTGTGCCCTTCTGAGCTGCGTGTGGCCTGTCGGTTTCGGTCGGTTTCGGTCTCGCTGTTGTCTCTCGGAATGGGCATCGACCTGTAGGGGTGACATTGCCCACAGCTTCGAGCTTTCGCGAAGTCTGGGAAGCGTCTTGGAGGCCATCGGTGGCCGTCTTGGGCGCCGTCTTGCGCCAACATGGACGTCTTGAGAGTAGGTTTGACGCACTTGTGCCGGCTTTACGCGGTGGCGGCCGGGGGTAGTCGGAATGGCGGACAGTCGGAGTCTGGTACACGAAGCAACCTCGTGGGCAGCACATGGGGTGCCGGATCGAGTGGCCTTTCGCTCATCCGATGTGCCATCCCGCCAACGTGCGTGGGTCGTGAATACGCGGCTCTTAGAGCATATTTGGGTCTCTTGGGTGGAAGAGGAGGAGGGAGAGGAGGAAGAGAGGGGGGGAGGAGGCGAGGGAGGAGGAGGAGGAGGAGGAGGAGGGATGAGGAAGAGGAGGAGGATGAGGGCGACGAAACATTCTAGCAATATCAATAGCATCAGTCGTCATAATTTTACACATCATGGTATAAGGATGAATCGTAATGATAGTACTACTACTATAATCATAACGGTACTACTGTTAGTAAGACTTCTGGTACTATACAAGTCTTACGCATAATATTGATAATATTATATTGTGGATAAGAAGAACATGACTACCATACTATTGATAATACAAATAATAATACGGCTGCTTATATTACTACGCATACTACCATACATCATGGTAATACGCGCACACATAAGAAGATAAGGATGAGGAAGAGGGGTAGGGATAACGTGGAGAAGGAGTAGGAGGGGTAGGAGGAGTAGGAGGAGGAGGAGGAGGGATCATGTGGAGCAGGAGGAGGAAGAGGAGGAGGAAGAGGAGGAGGAGGAGGAGGAGGATCAGGAGACGTATGGGAGACGTAAAGAAGACACGGGATAGCCCCCCACGTTCCCCGCCCTCCCTGCAGGAGCGGTCTCGGCTGGCCGGCTCCGGGCAGGGGCGGCTGCTGTCCATCTGCAGGCAGGTGTCGGCCCTGAGGACCGGCTCCGCCCGCTCCTCGTCTCCGGCAGCGGCAGACCTGGCATCGCTCGGACGTGTGCATTTTTCTCGGCGAGGACCATCGATCGGGGGCGGAAAAGAGGGGGGTGATGACTAGGGGGGGTGGATATCATGGCGGGGGCCATGATTTTTCTCAGATTTCATGGCGCCTCTTCTTATTTCATTACGTTCCAGGTCCCCCCGCTGGGCTGCGCACATGCCGCCGGTCATGATTTGCACCCCCTCTCTTGGACACCCCCCTCTTGGCCCCTCCCGATTTTTCTCGGCGAGGATCATCGAGGACCACCCTGGACCATCGAGCAAACCAAAATCACGCACGAGACCGAAAAGTGCGCGGGAAATGGACGTCCGAGCGTCGGCAAGTAGAGGCGAGGTGTGGTCGGAGGTCCGCATCAGGACGGGAGGACGGGCGCGCCCCGTGGAGCGGGCCTCTGCTCTCCCCGGTGGCGAGCTTCATCGATCCTCCTCCTCCTCCTCCTCCTCCTCCTCCTCCTCCTCCTCCTCCCCCTCCCCCTCCTTCTCCTCCTCCTCCTCATCCTCCTCCTCTCCCCTCCTCCTCCTTTCCCCTCCTCCCTCCTCCTCCTCCTCCTCCTCCTCCTCTCCTCCTCCTCCTTCTCCTCTTCATCCTCCTCTCTCATCTCTTCGATCCTTCTCCTCCTCCTCCTCCTCCTCCTCCTCCTCCTCCTCCTCCTCCTCCTCCTCCTCCTCCTCCTCTGGTCGTGGCGGGACACGGTCGTCAGTCAGAGCGCCAGATCTTGCAGGATCCTGCTGAGCCAGGGGTGCATTGATCCAGGTTTGCGTGCAGGACCCTGCAGGATCCTGCAGGATTCTGAAGGATTTTGCAGAGCCTGACTGACCCAGGTTTGGGGTGACCTGGGTCAGTAGACCCCTGATGTGTGAATGGGCACCGATTGGTGGGGGAGGTTCGAGGTTCGAGGTTTCTAGTGTTTCGTTCTCAGCGTCTTTCGAACCTCGGGATGCCCTCCAACGGCTGCGCCTCGTCGAGGGCATTCCATGAGGATGTCTCGCACGAACGTCATCCAGGCACGAGAGCTCCAGGGAGACGGAATGCCCGGCAGGGCTCGCCAGGGAGGGCGGGGCGCTCGCTTTTTCCGCGGGGGGTGAGCGGCTCAAGGGCCCTAAACGGCAGCGGTCGGCAGCAGTGCAACAGCAGGAGGAGGGCGGAGGAGAGAAGACAAAAGGATTGACAGAATGAGCAAGAATAAACAAGAAGAGGAATGAAGTCGATTCACAATCTCAACCTCTTCTCTTCTAAAAGTGGCCAAAGTGTGGCTCAGCTGTCAGTCAGTAGTTGCTGTAGTCGTCTTCTTCTCTCTCTTCTTCTCTGCGCGCTTCGCAGCTTTCTTTGCTTTCCGGGCAGCGCTCGGGGGAGGCCTTCTCATGTTCCTGTCGGTGGACAGCCTCAGCTCGGGAGCCCGGTCTGCCTTCGCGAAGACGTGGCTCCTGTCATTTGTGGCTTTGTCGTCTCCATCACACGACAATGTCCCGCCAGACTCCGACGGATCGGAAAGATCAGAACGATCATCGTTGCTGCGAGACCTCCCTCTTTGAATGACAGGACACGGCGTCTCTGGTTCTATTCGGTCCGAAATGTAATCCGGAACGCTAGGAGCACTCACTTCCCGGCCAGCATGCCTACCACGATGTTGTTCCCAGTCGGCCCTGTCGCTCTTCGCCTTCTGTCTATCCCTGAGCTTTCTGGCAGACACGTGATGGCCCATCTGAGGGACATCCCGGCGGTACAGGTGATCGTGGTATTTTTCGGGCTTGCCACTGGCATCATTATCAGCATCCTTGATACGATTGTGCGTGCAGATTGCCTTTTGCGTTGCTCGCAACTCCCTTTGGGCTAAGTCTACGGCCCGCTCGAGCTGTCGCTCCCGGGACGCGTCCTGCTTGTTCTGCAGCTTCTGCGTGGCCTGGCGCTCGGTGCGCATCATGCTCAAGGCACTGCGCTGGAGGTGCCGCTCCACATTGCTCAGGCGGCATGCTGGCGGAAGCGCCGCGAGCTGCTCTTCTGCCGTGCGCCCTGCTGGAGGGGCCGGCGAACACGCTTTCGAGGATGCCTTTGGATGCGGAGGTCGAGCCTTGCTCGTGCAGCTGGGCGCTGCCGGCACCCTGGCGCCGATGGCAGTGGCGACCATAGCGCAAGCGACCGCCTTTCCCTCAGCCGGGAAACCCTGGCGTGCAGGTCTAGCTGACGACGCTGCGTTGGCACTTGCTGGTGGTGCGGTGGCCGGCTTTCTCGCTGAGGTGAGCGTATTTGCACCAGACCGGATAGGTGCTAGAAGCTTCTCTGGGTTGGACTTGTCCTTGTCGGGGGAGCGCAAGACCCGGGTTTGCCAGGACTCGGGTTCGCCATCGTTTTCTGACGACCGCGCCTCGGATTTTGACGAGGAGGAGTTTCGTTGGATGTCTGCAGCGGGAGGTTTCGTCAAAATGCAGGCTCGGCCTCGTCATTTTTTTGACGACCTCGTCGGGGATTTCCGGGTCCCCCGTGCCCGGGTCTTACGTCTCCCCGACCTTGGTGAGAGGATCCGCAACAATTTCAGAATCTGGCATCCACAGCAGTTCCAAGGGAAGTACCTTGTCACTGTGTTTGAGAATCCATGAAACGACAGCTTCACGAAATCTCTGGAACGATGGAGTGAGATCTTCTTCCGAAAAGTGTGGCGTTGCAGAGTGTATATTTGTGACGAAAGACCAACTATCGGTAAGCAAAAAACCGAACGGAGGCTCTGGCATGTTCAATGCTTCTTGAATCCGGCATCTGGTGGCAAAATTTACATCCAAATTTGCTTGTGCCGAGAGAGCCTCGGCTGCCAGGGTGGAGATGCATGTTCGGACTTGCTTCTTGTATGCCGACCTGTACGTCGAAACACGAACAACCTTACTCCTCCCCATCTTTTCTCCTATATACGTAGCCATGCCGCGTTGCGGCGGAGTGCTCTTGGAAGAATCGCCGAAATAATAAACGCAGATGTCTTTGGACATGGGGCCACGCGTAAGGGCAAGTGGGACGTTTTTGAAACGACGGGCGTTTTTGTTGAAATCTAGAAGCGTACTCACTGTTGCCGACTGCGCTTTGGGCGCGACAGAACTCACGTGAAAAGGGCCGGTCGGAACCGTCTGGTCCGAGACCCAGATCTGCTCGCCGAGGCACTGGCGTAGGGAGGCCCGCTCTGCTACTGTCACTGGTGAAGTCGGCCGCCGCAGGCGGTGTGGAGGTGCAGATATGGTTGACAGATGCCTACAGTATTCTGTTTGATCAAGAGTGATGTGCGGCATATCTACTTTAATGCGTAAACCACAAAAGATAAACTTACCGTGCTCACGCGTGCCCCGCTGCAGCAGCAAACTTTCAGTGATGTTCCAGAAAACATCTGTTCCGGCCATCGGACCGTCGTCTACGTGAATGAGGACCAACACAACCCTGAAGTTGTTCTTCCTCGAAACGCAGGAACGCGCATGGATCCCAGATCGACTGCGCAAAGCCGCGTTCTCGTAGAAGAGACCTCATGTGAAAGAACCATGCCCTGGGTGCGCGGCGCAGGCCATACAGAGTCTTTCCACGCTTCAGTCGCCACGCGTGTCCTCCAGGGGGGTCGACGCCAGCCGGCGGACGGACGAACGCCGGGGAGTCGTCCCAATTGGGATCAGCACGCGCGTCAGCTTGAAGGAACGCCTCCTTCGCGTCCCATGCTTCCGTTTCGGACTGCATGTGAGCAGCTCGCCGAAGAAGGAAACGAACGGAGAGACGATGCAAAGTTAGACTCTCTACCACATGGCTGTCCTTGCCGGGTTCGAAACAGCCTTGCACTACGAGGCGGGCCTTCGGTTCGCCATCAGGCGCCGTGTAGACGTAGCGGGGTGGCGCGGCAGACGTGCCGTCTGGAAGCTGAACCCCATCAAAGTTATCCGAAACAGCATGCAGTTCAAGAAGCCGGGGCGCTTCGAAGACCGGGTCTGCTTCCGCGGCCTTGCGTGGAACTTCTTTGGCCCGCTTCAGCGTTTTCACAGCTGCTAGAGCATCGAGAACAGATACCCCTGGAACGTGTGCGTCTTCCGGGCAGCTTTTGCAAACATCCGCAACTTCAGCCACCATCGTCCATTGCGTTGGTACTTCGGAAAACGACTCGTCAGCATCGCTGTTGGCTGCTGCGAGCAGGTCATCTGAAGCAACATGGGAAGCTTCATGCGGCAAAGTTTGTGATTTGTGCGCAGGCTCCTCTTCTGCTATTCCGTACTCTCCCTTTGGCTTTGTCGGTCCAGACAGAAGCGGTTGTTTCCCAGAGAGCCGGTGGGTTGGTTTGAACGTACCAGATGGAGAACTTCCAGTTCCAGGCTGCTGTGGTGGTTGCGCGGGAGGAGGTACGGCAGGCGCCGCTGGTCCATTTCCCACGGCCGGGGAACCCAGGCTCGCAGGTCCAGGAAAGCCAGCCGGAGCAGGTGTAGCTGGAGGTGGTTGTGGCACTGGTGGTGGTGGCGCAGCTGGAGGCGTTGGCGGCGACGAGGCCGCGTCTTCCGCGTCTTCCGAAGACTGGTTTTTCTTGATGTTTACGGTTTATTGCGCGGGCGCCTGCATTTGGAGTTCCAGGATCTCTTTGTGTTCGCGAGGGCGGGCCCTGTGCCGGTGTACAGAAATAGCATGGCCATCTTGCGTTCGAATCTACACTTTTTGCTGGCCTTCCATGCCTAGCGCGGTTGCTGGTCCTTTCCTAGCCTTTCCAGAAGTTTTGTTTTTTGAATTCTCGTCAGCTATCCAATCAACTATGGCCCTGGCGCTCAGAGGGCCGAGTGTGCCAGCCAATCGCGAATTGAACACATCCCGTAATTCTGAACAAGATTGGATTTGGATAGCCACCTGCTGGGCGGCTCGCCGGAGGGAGAGCCTAGCCTGAGCTCTGCTTGCGGGGTCCGCGGGGAGGTCCTGGAGCATGGGAGGGTCTGCCTCGTCG